GATAGGCAGTCTCTAAATTGACATCAGATTTTATGATGTTTCTGCGATTTATTTGCTAAAATAACACAATTAAATCAAATAATGTCTTATATTTACATTTTATATGTTTATGTTTACATCTAAGAATCTTGAAAATTGATCATGTATTATTTCCACACCAAACAAAATTATATGAATTGTAAATAAAACAGTATTGATTGTTATGCTTATCAAATTTTCCTCATGAAAAGAATAACTCACACTTTGTAACTTTTTTTCAATAAGAAAGATATGTGACTTAAGGTTCCTGTGCTCCCACTATAAACTAGTTATTCAGTGTTATTTAAATTTAATATCTAAAATTTAAGAGTGATCAATCAATGCAAGAAACGGAAACCCTTGTTTATTATTGACCTCGGCAGTACTTTGAATACGCTGACAATTTTTCACCTTTCTGAAGTCTTTAGTGTATAGATTATTTAGCATCATCTTGAATAATACTAACGATTGACCCTGTCAGTCCACATTCGTTGTCACCCAACGCGAGCTGACGTAACCTGGATGTACCTTACAGGTCGATCTGCCTAAGACTGACGCTCCGTTACACTAATACATTAGGTACCTACAGAATATACGACACGAGACGCAGTAGGTCCGTCTTGAACAATAATCATGTTCCAAGTGTGACTTTCTTTATATCTTAAATTTAATTGTAAGTTGAAGCTGGAAGAAACATTTGAATATTGGTGTAAACATAAGGTACAAAATACTAGTAAGTTATTATTTACTTGTTTGCTATAAATTTATTTTTTATTATTTTGCGTAAAATAAAAGTAAAAACACATGTTCTGAGAAGCAGAGGAAATTGTGGTCGATTCAGTCGAACTTATTACCATTTTTGAACGTAAATTTGCAGTGATTTTTGTCATTTCTCTTGATCGAATTACCGACTTGAAAAATAAGAAACTTCAGAATAGTAAAATACTTTTAAGAGTTCCTTGAAAATATAAAACAATTTATTTACATCAATTAAACATGTTAAATGATTTCGGTACGATGTTACATGTATGATTGATTTACAGTGCTCACATAATTCTTGAATCGTGGTTCTATAGAAAAATGATATCATTCAAATACTTTTTAAAGAATAAAACAATACATTTTTAATGCAACTACCAGTAGACCGTCAATGGAAGCGTGAAAACAATTTATTGTTTCTTCATGCGTAAAGTCCGGCGATGGTCTACGAGATAATTGATAAAGGAAGCCTTAATTATAAAATTAAGTGCTCTACCTTTTGGTAGAATTGTTTGTTTACAACTTCAGTTACAGAGAATTTCTATATTTTGATTTTCTGATTATCACTGATACTTAAGGTTTCGTCAAAGGTCAACATGTCTTAAAAAATATTTTTACAATAGCTCCAAAACTATGTTTTATAAAGTCAAACCGTTTACAGTTTATAAATATATCATTGATTAATAGATAGAAAGTATCACTTGATAACAAATAATCTATTAAAAAGATATTTTTTTGAGAAAAATTAATTAGAAAATGTGCATATTTCAAGAAAAATGCACCTGCTTAATTCTCTTTATTTTGTGAAAACCATCATTGCAGAAGTAATATATTTTTATCATTGAAGGCCACTTTGGACGTGAATGGTCTCTGAAAGGCTGTTATTGAAAGCATGGCATGTATAAAAACAAGACCCCTATACAATCCGCCATTAGCAATGTACTTTCACATCTTAACATTTGGACAAAAGAAACAGGGAAAACAACTTTCCAAAGGCTATTCAAGTCCAACTTGCCCTTCATTGATAAACATATTTTGTTTTTTTTTCAATAATGGTTTTCCCTAAGAGTGTGGAATTAATTAGGTGTATATTTTTTAAAAATATTTGCATTTCTAAGAAGAATTTTTCATATATAACATATAATATTCATTATTTTTAAATATCGATCAATTAAAGTACCCGAGCAAAGACATAAAAGTAATTGCATAACTTATTTATTTTATGTTCAATGATTTTTTTTTCTATATTTGTTTGTCATATATGAATTAAAAACAATGAAAGATAACAGTGACTTTTGTTAAATGTATAAAACGAATATTTTTTCCAAGTATTTTTTTTTTATCAAGTGATACTTTCTATCTGTTAATAAATGAAAAATTTATAAACTCTAAAAGTTTTAACTTTATACCTCACATAGTTTTGGGGCTATTGTAAAATTAATTTTTGGACATGTTGACCTTTGACGAAAAGTTGAGGTAAATCCACTCTCCGATGATGTCATAGGTTTTTTTTTGCATAACTGTAATAAGTTTAAATTCATACCTAGCTAATAGAATAATATCATTTGGAAGAATGCTTTACAATATGTTTGATGATAAATATTGTTAAGTAAAAGAATTTTAAAAATGCATATTTTTTTTATTAAATCAGTTATTTAATTTTTAAAAATGTTGAAAAGGGCAATGACTCCTTCTAAGGTCTCTTGATTCAGACATTTGCTTTATTGTACTTCAAATGTAAAATATTTCCCTGATATTCACAATTCAAGAGTATCTTATAAGTAGAAAGCATTTAGGAACATTCAGCATCAGAATTATGCATCTAAACCAGTTTTTACTTATTTTTTATAATACTGTTTACAAAAAATGTGCGATTTTTTATGTTGACATACACTTCTATTTATTTATGTTTCGTAAGTTAAATATTTAGGTGACCTATACATTTTTTGCAATAACTGGAAAAATTAGAGTATATTAGATGAAAATAAATGCAGTATTTTGTACTTTGAACCATTAAAATTGTGAGGGTGGAAACACCTTAACGACCATTGAATTATAATAACCTTTTTTCTTTATAATAGAATACAAAAATTATGGAATGAATATAAACTGAGTGGGGAAGGGAGAATACCGTAAAATAATAATGCGAAGTAAATTTCATAGTTTAGAATTATTTCAGTTCAATGAAGACTTTAGTTACAGTGGACCTTCAGATATCCGGATGCTTCAGTATCCGGACGATTTTTCATCGGAACGGAATTTCTAATTGTTATTCTGTCTAGTTTAACGGGTGATTCAGGTATCCGGACACTTCACATATCCGGACAAATAGACTGGGAACCAAAGCGTCCGGATAAATGAGGGTCCACTGTATATAAACATTATGGAAATATCATACCAATAAAATAGATCAGATGACTGAGTTTACATAATTTATTTCGTTAAATTGATTTATATGAATTTTTATTGAAAATTCAAGCAAAGAAATATTTTTTTAAAAAATCTCCATAAAATGTACAGTTATCTTATGTTCTTAATAAAATCTTTCATGAGTGTTGTTCTTACAAGTTATGAACAGAATCCTTAAAATAAGTAGATGCCTTTCATAATAACCAGATAGTATTCAAGGTCCATGTTTTACACCAAGTGAGAGAGAAGTACTCAGGTTAAATATTTTTTCAGTTTATCATTAAGACGAAATACTTCAACTTTTGAAAGTAATCATGTTTTCCTGTATATTTTATTTTATGTTTATATGATGCCATATAAATGAAAAACTTTCATGGTATGATGAATTTGATAGAGCATTTTCATGTATTTTATTTTCTGATTTGGATTTTTATGTTTAGACATATCAAGGAATTTGGCTAATTGAATACAGACCCTCATTTGGGACTCTTTCAACGGAACAAAATTTTTAAATGTTATTTTGTCTTATTTAAGTGGTGATAAAAACATATAATATTTACTGGGAACCAAAGCGTTAAATGAGGGTCCACTGTAGTTATAAAAAAATTAATTTAACAGATGAGCGTATGGACAAAATCGGTGTTTATGTCATCTTGATCAATGTCGTAAGCTTTATGATTTCTTATATCGACTTTGAAGAATTGAGCATACATGCAGATCAGAGAGGTAAACACATTACTAATATTATCAGACTATGAATCGTGAAACAATTAATATTGCAATTGAAAAGAAACATTTCTCTATTGCTTATCATTTACTATTTTTGGGGGAGGGACATGTGTCCTCCGTCCTTACATGTAATATTCCTAAAGTAACTCTAACCAATTTAAGAAAATCATTGTAATATTTAATTTTGACGAAAATGTTCATACAATTCGATAAATTAAAAAAAGACAAGGGGATCGATAATTTCATTTCCAAAAATATAGTTTAAATCTTGATAAACACTCTGTGATTGACCATAATTTATTTTATTTATTATTTTTACTATTAACTGAATAAATTGATTAATAGTTATTTATCTATTTATTTTTTTTTATTCTTTTCCTTGACATTTACGCTTTAATATTTCGTTTAAAGATTGAAAACTAAGAGATAAAACTTCTTTCGGTTGAAGAAATCGTATTTAAGTTAACAAAAGAAAGAAACTCGGAACACATCTGTAGTTTCTTCCAATAGGAAAAATAAAGAGCGGGGGTTATGAATATACACGATAAACGCAAAACATGATAGAAACTGAAAAACAATCTACACGATAAACACAAAACACGATACACGATCGAAAATGCAAAACCGGGTAAGCGGATAACACTATACGATATGATACATGAAAGACATGAGACGATAGAATTGTAAAGTACAATGATGCTGGTACTGTAAATCTTTAAAAATCGTCATCTAAATAACGTAAATCCATATTATCATACTGAGAAGGAAACTTCCTCAAATGGTGCATCCACATGTTTGCCCAACGCATGATTCGGACGGGTAGGTTGGGTATTCAATGGGTGATTATACTTCACATAAGCTAATATAATACTAAATGTTATATCTGCTGATGAAGAACAGCTGGCTATATTGCCTTACGTGAGCCTTGTGACCATTGGCAATTTTGCCTCACTATTCTATGCTTTCCAAACTTTCATATTTACATTTGTATTGGAAAAAATCATTCTTATCAATTTTTAGTAGATTTACCTAAAAACTGCAAATGATCTTTCTTTTTTTTTTTTACAACATTCAAGTTCATCAAGATGAGAGCTCCTAAGCTTAATACACTGATGTTAATCATTGTGGCAAATCACGTGATTATTACGTCTCCTGTCGTCAGCACCAACAGGGTTCTTCTGGCCATAGGTCTGGCTGGCGCCTCCCTTTATTCGTCTAGGAGTAAGTCAATAATCCGTTAATTGATATTTATATAATTGCCAGTTGTATATCAATTATGACTTTTCCTTAATATTTTTTTCCCTAAACCAGCTGCAAACTGGGTCATGTTATGCCACGTTTTCTCTTCTGTATGCTCTTTTAAAAAAATTATGCATTTTTTAAAAGAAGCAAACCGACATGTTTAGTTCAAGTTGTCTTAGAAGAATACACACTTTATAGCAAAAAAATGTTCTTTTTCATTAGTTCTAGATTATTATTGGTCCCCAGAGGATCTTGGATTGCTCACCTTTATCATAGTCCTATTGTTACTACCGGCAAAACAAAACAGTAACAGTGAGTAAAAGACACCTTATCATAGTCCTTTTGTTACTACCGGCCAAACGAAACAGTAAGTAAAACACACCTCACCATAGTCCTATTGTTACTACCACCCAGACATGACACACCTTTATCATAGTCCTATTGTTACTACCACACAACACACATCTTTATCATAGCTCTATTGTTACTACCGATTGCTACTTATATAACATGTTTTTCACAAATATCAAATAAAATAATAAATTAAAATTAATTTTTCCTTCGTCATTTGTTCTTTTTTTGGCAATCATATCCTGTATTAGGGGAAGGGTTAGCCAATATGTTATGTAGATTTATTTTTTCTTAATTCTCATCTGCATTTTGATTATAAGATTATAGTTCTCTAAACTGATTCGATACTGAAGAGTATCTTTCAAGCATTTTTGAACCATCTTATTATTGTATGAAGAGAAAGACTTTGAGAAGAATGATAGAGAATAAGTATGGTGCCAATTGCACGAACTCATCTTGCGACCATAGGAGTAAAAACAGTTTTTTTTTAAAAAAAATAAAGATTCTTTATAATACTTTCCGTGTAAAACTTTTACCATACAGAATACCGGTTGAATAGATTGGCCAATTTGTCAAACCGAGACATAATGTCATATCCAAGATTAAAATGTTTGCTGTTTTAAATATTGTAGTCGACAAACAAATATAACTTGTCACAATCTCTAAATTGCAGTTTGTGATCCGGGATGGAAGTACTTCCGGGGCCACTGCTACATTCGGGTGGAAGGACTTTTCAATCAACCCACTGCGCAGGTTCGTTATAAGGTTTCTGGGACTTCCAGTTCTAATTGAAATGAAATATTGACTACTTTAATGTGTTATATGAATATTTAAACAAAAAAAATACTGGAAAGAAGGAAATACTTTATAAACTCTGTTATACATGTAAATGCATTAGCAAACTACGTTCTTAACCAAGTGTACTTCCTGTGTTATAATATTTTTACTAAGATACCGATGGTATTCTTTACAAAGGCAGTTTTGAATAATCTATTGATGAATACAGGTGGAAAAAACTGTTTTAAGACTGTACTATAACAGTATTGTCCGTATTAACACATGATAAATGTTTACAGGCAGCCTGTAATGCCGAAGGCGCTTACTTAACGGAAATAACTGACGCAGAGGAAAATCAATTTATTTTAGAGAATATACTCAACACCGTCAGTAAGTATTTAACAGTATCAGTAAGTATCAGACAATATGAGTTAGTATTTAACAGTATCAGTTAGTATTTAACTGTATCGGTTAGTATTTAAAATTCAATATTGTCAATAAGTATGAATTTCACGGTTTCGGTACCTTATTATACTGTGTCAGTAAAAATAATTTTGTCTCTGAACGACGTTTGATCCTGATATTTAAAGTCTTAAACATTTTTTGCAAAGTATATTATTAGTTTCTATATACATAGCTTAATTAAAATTCAAATCAAAAAATGGGGGTCAATATGCTTCTTTTTGCGCCACAGTACATTTAATATGACCTTTTTGCACTGAAATTTGTGGCTTAATTAAAAATTACATCTTTGACGTTTTCCTTGCAATATTTTAATCCAATTAAAGCACGAAGCAAAATGAACTCTAAGTCTGTTTAAAAAAAGACACTTTAAAATTGTGACTGAGAAAATGTTTCACATTGTGTCGCATGATCAATTATTTGACCTTTCTGCACTAATAAAATGTGATTTTTCTGGCATTATAAATTAAATAAGCAAGAAAATTATTTTAAAGTCTTAAACTTTTTCTGATTTTGAGCAAATAGGTCAAAAATATCTTGAATATTTAGAAAAGAATATAAAAAGTGGGGGTATATGATGTAAATTTTAAGATATTACTGAAAAAGTGTCAATTTTACGTTAAAATTGGCTCAATTTTTTCCTGGATTTTCAGAATACATTTACTAAATTTGTCACATTTTGTTGAAAGAATTCATAAGAAAAAATTAAATAGGTAGTTCAGAACCAGCATAACACATTCCACTGCAAAAAAAAAAAAAACAGCTTTGTGTGCAACCAGCATGGGAAAATAGGAATTCAAAAGGAAAAAAACTGATCATTTTCGTCTCAAAAACCTTCCGCATCAAAATATCGCCCCTAGTTTAATTCTGCTTGAATGGAATTTAATGGCGGTTTTTTCAATGAATATAGTTCAATTTACATTGTAGAATTCAGATTTAATGTTGGAACTTAAAAATGATGCAGAATTTTATAAATAATGGACATGACCAAAGTCCACTCAAAAGCTCAGGATGGAACGTTCTTAAGGTAGTAGTTTTGGTCGGCAGAATTTTAATCACCAGCAAGTACATTATATCGTGTCTGAAAGCATTATATCGTATCAGTAAGTGTAATATCGTGTTAATAAATATCATACTGTGCCATTATGTAATATACAGTACCAAGTAACTAAGTTTTTAATCTTGTCAGTTATATCTTACCAGTATGTTCAAGAGTTGATACAAAAGCCATGTCGCAACTTCGATAAAATTGCAACCAGTCAACGTAAAACAAAATTAAAAATTATAGAAGCTACATTGACATGTTTTATTTCTAATCAGACCTGAACATTACAACTCAGCTTGATTGACACTTTTAAAATATCGCATTTAGTACAAAATGTGATGTTGGTAGTCGCTGCGTCTAAAAAGCGTCATAAAATGGATACGCGCCGTCAAACATTCAAACGTTTCCCAATAAAAAAAGAACATTCAAGATTCTCACAATTTCACAGTTTTCTTTTTTCTTCCAAAATTATTAATACCTATCCTACACTCACTCCTTTTATATTTAGTCCCCTATCAAAACCCTTTGAAAAGTACAATAAGACAAAATGTTCATAACCCATTACAGATACATGCATGTCTTTTGACAACACCACACATCAGCTAAACGTTTCCGTCTCACCTTTCATCTTTCGGTCTTTCTGTCAAATGCTTATCATTTCTGACCCATCATCCTTTACCAAATCGCTAGAACCGTCTCTAAACAAGAAACCTATGTACATTGATTTAACTGAGATTCTGATTAATCAACGTATCTGTCTCTGTTTGTAATTTCCCCAATCTGAATCAAAAATGCAAAATGCATTACAGCTAAATACTGCGTTTCCCCCCGTTTCATCACTCCCTTTGTAGATTCATCAGAGTAAAACAGAATTTTTATAACCTTAAATAGCTATGACGTCATTATTTTTTAAACTGATCTTAAGAGAGTGGTGTAGATTTTGTCTTTAAAAATTATTTGGGTAATAGGTGCGAACATTTACTGGAACCCGCAATGTATCTTTGTTTGAAGTTTCGGAATGCAATATATATAGGGTAGTTCAAATTCATTTTGGCTCTGTGGAATATTAAATATGTTCAAAACTGACATATGTTTTTGAAGAATTTCTTCCTTAGAAGGGGAAGTACGAGTATGGGTTGGATTACCACTAGTAAAATTAAATCCAAGTTCTTCAAAACTACAATGTTTCGATCTGTCTACTTTCTCTCCTATTTCGCCCTCTTGTGTACCAGAGAGAAGAGACTATTATTAAATGACCACGATGTTGTTCAATCCTTGGAAAATGACCTACAGCTCATCCGTACTAAACAACAGCTGGTAGAAAATACACAAAGGAGCTGAAATCGGAGAATCTAGCCTTAAAGTCGGAGAACGTTCAAATTAAAGGGCAAATGACTAACTTACAACAAAGCCCAAAACAAGGAAGGGAAATGCAATTTCCTTTCAACATCGTGTGCGTTTTAAAGTTTTATCTTTCAACTCATGAAAACATAACCATCTTAATATCCATATCTCTAAAACATTAAATCTGTGTATTGTTGTACGTCAGAATCAGGTATGTGGTAATCGTAATCGATTATAATAATAATTTTTTTTAAGTTCCCAAGCAATTGACAGTAACCTGTAATCGAAGATATTTTCGATTACTTATACTCGGGATTCAATCACTTACTGCTAAAAATTTCCAATGTATTAATAAATACTATTTTTTCAATTTCTTTCAATTGCTTTGTATATATGAGAAGATATTTAACAAGAATATCAGCAGTCTCGCGTAAAGGCATCATTTTGTAAGTTCTTTCGTCGATACAATGACCTTGTCAAGAAATACAATTCATCATTGAGTCAAATGCTGACTGCCGCATTTCATACCAGGCCTAATTGTTAGATCATTATTTATACTGAATTAACGCCGGATTTGTTCCGTTATTTTCCGATCATGACAAGAAGCACACCGGTGGGGGGGGGGGGGGGACGGTGAGCAGGGGATGCTTACTTCGGCCTCAATGACATCTGATCCCACCGATGTTTTGGAGGTCCATGTTTGCTCTCCCCCTACTTTGTATTGTTTTATGTACTTGGATATTGAATACTGTTCGTTATCTCCTTATCTTACATATTTCTAATCCTCTACTAAGTGTGAATCGAAAAATATAAAATTTTATTCAAATGTTTACAATTATAGCTTCATAATTAGACTTGAAATGGAGACCCGGAGCCCTGCAAAATTTTAATGAAAAAATTATTTTCACTGTATAAACTTCTTTTGTATTTTTAAATTTCTGCGGAAATCTGGATGACTTTAATATTCTGAGGTTGACAGAGGTTATCACGTCAAACCTGCAAAATTTGAACGTTGAAAGTTGTAAAATGGCTGAGCAATCAAAGTTAGAACTTATTAAGACGGATCGGAATTGTTCAAAAATAGGGAGTTTCCGGGTGGAGCAGTGAGCAGTGATAAAATTCTGCGTAGACATCGGATAAACATTAACAGAGACCAATACATTTTGTTAACAAACGGGAAAACATAGTAAAAGAAGCTGTACATAAGTATTTAAGTAGCATATGATATTTTCGGAGGGAAGGAACAGTTTACAGGATGACATGCGTGAAGGAAAACCATCATTCCGAGATTGCAGTGCTGTAAAAAATGAATTTCGTAACGTTATCATGCCGCATTTCCGTAGATAAAATCTTTTTACGCAGACAGAGGTTGGATGATTGCAGGATTTGAGACAAATTTTGTTAAATAACATTTTACGTATGAAACCTAAACATTTTGTGCACATATTTATGACTGGAAAAAGCGACCTAAGAAATGTATTGAGTTAATGGTGACTGTGTTGAGAAAAGTTACATGTACTCGTATCGTCAGGTAACGTCAACAATTTTCATTTAAGTGCTCCGGGTTTGAGTGTGTGTCTTTATTTAATCTCACTATTTAATTTGTGCTTTGTTTTTGTTGAAAACTTGCATGTTGATGAAATGAATCATGAATTTAAAGAAAATAATATTTTCATATATTTTATCAATGTTTGTCAGTAATTATCAATGTTGTCCACGAACTTTGCGGACAACCCTCGTATGTGTATAAGCATGATAACCACTTGTTGAATTAAATGAAATTAGAAGTTCTTTCTACATACAATTGATATAATGAGCCTTACAAACGAGGACAATGTTGTCACCTGCTTTGTCGACAGGGACCAGTACGTACTGATCATGTGATCTATCTAACTCTTTTTTCACTTCCGGATTATTAAACACAGAAGGATAGACGGTTTTCATATTGCCCCTCAATTTTAAATGCAAAAAAATAACAACAACATGCTATGCATGACCTCGAGCTGAGTGTGCGCTGAACGCCGTATTTTGTTTTGAAAATGCCAACAAAACAATAGATCAATATAATGTACATACACCACATACTACAGTAAGACATAATGTACCAAATTTGCATATATTAGACTTATATAAATTCTCTTTAAAAGCATCCGGGTCGCGCGGCCAGGATAAACTATAGATGAAATAATAACGTTTTAAAACTCCTGTGTCCAAAAAAATTGTTGCTAAGTGCCGCGGGATGTAAAAAATCGATGCGAAGGATCTCACAACCTACAACTTAACCTAATAGAAATACGAGGGTCATTCAGAGAGTTCGTAGACTTTTGTCATAATTTTTTTTATTTAACGTCATATTATATCCAAAATTGGTACACATATCTTAAGAACAAATTCTAATAATTGTAATATATGGTTCCATTTAAAATACATCACTTTCTAAATATTTATGGACCTGATTAAAAAAGAAAAAAATGACGTTAGAGGACGTCACGGAGCAGCGAGTAGCAATAAAATTTTGCTTTGTATTCAGGAAAATCCTTTAACAAACTTAAAAAAATAATCTGTATAATGCCTTGGTCACATTTCCCGGCCGGTTGCCGTAGACCGGTGGTAATCGGTGGTAATCCGTGGTGTGAGTGATGCCCCAACATCGGTCCACATCGGCCTAGTAGTCCTTAAAGTATCAGTCACATTATCCAGCGACGGGGTGTGCGATGGGCAACCAATGCGTTTCTTGATAAAAATGGCGTAGTTGCCGGTCGGACTTACAAAGGTCCAGCGATGAATTGCTCATCATAAAACGAGGTTCCAGGGTTGTCGGCCGATGTATATTACGTTCGTACATCTGTCGACTATGGGCCAATGTTTGGTCGATCATCGACCAATGATCTGCCTATGTTTGTTGCCCACCACTCAACCCCCCGATTACCTCAGATTAAACAGACACTTGATGATTTTCGGTCATACATCGGCCAATTCTTAAAAGATGTGTTAATGATGGGTTGCCGATGAGAAGCGATGTAGGGCATCGGTGGAGACATCGCTGATTTTTAACTACAGCTTGTTTTCTACCGATTACCCCACCGATTCGCCAAATAGCCTCTGTCACCGTCCGATTACCATAGGTGTCCGGCCGGCCACGACGCCATTTTCATCAAAAAACGCATTGGTTTCTCATCGTATACCCCATCGCTGGATAACGTGACTGATACTTAAACCAGGAAATGTATGAAAAATAAGCCGTGTTTTTGTATAAAATGGAAAAATACAATTTTGGAGTGGTAGCAAGTTTAAATCACATGATGGTTGGTCTGCGAGTTATGAAAGTCATTGAACGTAATGTGCGCTTCACTGTTGCGGAACAAATCGTGTTCCGGTGTGTAAGCAATTAAAAAAAAAAGTTTTAGCTATTTGCACAATTGTTAGCAAACTAGGTGTTAAGTGTTATGGATACGTTTTCACGAATGAAGAAGACGCTACAAACTGTGTATGAAATTAAAAAGCAGAGTCATTTTGAGAAACTTTCTCGATGTTATATTTGACGTTACAATGTTGGTAACCGTGCTCCGTGGTAACAAAACATGTTGCTTTAAAATTTGGCTAGCATGAGTTCTATTTAATCAAACGGAATGAAACTTCACCATTCGACAAAATAAATGTTCAAAATAAATAAAAATGAGGAACATTATCTACGTATTTTTTGAATGACTCTCGTACAATGCTTACTTATATCTTAAATATGAAAACTTCGATGCTCCCCACCGAAGTCGATGGCTATATGTGATCAACCTTTCAATACGTTGAACAGATTTGAAAAGGTGTTAAAATCAAAACCGTGATGCTTAAGATTGCTGAAACGGAAGCGTTGTTCTTTTGTGTTAAAGTGAGTAGGATTTCAGGGTAAATTTCATTTTAATGTGTTTATTACTCTAAAATAAATGGCATTGACACGTGATTATTTCAGATTAGGCTTACATATATGATATCAGTCTCCATATGAGTAAAAAAAATTCTCGAGAATGACCTTAAATAACATACAATCAATCGATCAAGATGTTGCGCCAATAAACATGTCAGTATCATGTGTTATTTCAGGTTGCTCTAACATATATGATTGCACAACGTGGATCGGCGGTAACGACAAGGCGACAAATGGCGTATATATCTGGGAAACATCCGGGCTACCCGTGACGTACACAAACTGGATTCCCGGTAACCCGAACAACGAAGTCATCAAGGACTGTATGGACATCTTCTACACAGGCCTCTGGAATGACCGGCCCTGCACGAGACAGGAGGGATACATATGTGAAAAAAATCTGTAGTATTGTTGTTTACTGTAAATGTATTAGATTTTACATACATAAGATTTTGGCGAAATTATATTTAGTACAATTAAGTGACGAAAATTTGGTTCAACAACCTTTCTTTTTACATACTCTCTATTTACACAATGAAATGATTTCTTTGATTGTTTTAATGAAAAGTAGTGTCACAGCTTTTGCAGAAAAAATACAATGATAAAATATTCAGTGGATGTAAATATAATGCCTTGTTAATCGAATAACGTTGTTTACTTCTTAAAAATTTCTATTACTGTAAACCAACTATTATTCGCGACGTAACCTTTTGTTTTATTGAATTGTCACATTTACCAGGGAAATTAAATTGGTTCGCGTTTTTACGATTAATTTTTTTAAATCATACATACGAAAAGCAATTGCCTTTTTGGATTTGTTGTTACAAATATACTAGAATATTTTGGCACTTAAATGTTGCCAATTAAGTTCAAAAGTTTGGTTCAGCAAATATCTCTGCGACATTGAAAAGCATGCTCTCAAGCGAACTTGTAATTACTGTTTATTTACACAATGAAAATTTCTCGAATGTTTTAATAAAAGTTGGTTTACAGTAATGAAATGTAACGTTAAACTTGTATAAATGAATGGTGTTCTCCTCGAAAGGCGCTAAAAACACCCGTTTTATGTAAAACGTTAAATTAATGTTTTACAAGACGATGATTTTAACTATACATGTGTCAATTCTGATGATGTTTATAAGCTGTTAATATAGGTAAACTCTCGTGTTTCAAATTTTTCAAAAGTTCTTTGGATTAAAAAAGTTACATAATGAGTCAAAATCATGTGTTTCTTTTAAAATATTTGTATCATAGAGAGGAAGATTTATAAAAAAATATTAAGTATATAGCAAAGATATGACAAGTAAACTGCATTGTAATGAAACATATGGAGATAACAAACAGTATTCAAGATCAAAAGTCCATAAAACAATACAAAACAAGAGCAGAGCAAACAGGGACCTTTAAAACATCAGAGGTGGGATCAAATGCCATGGAGGACTTAGCATTCCCTGCTGACCGGTCACATCCACCTTTCTTTTTTGTCATGATCAGAAAAATCCGTCGATGACACATTGTCAGAATGGACTGAATGTATCAGGTCACTGTTAAAATCAACGTTGTTTGAATCGCATATTAAAAAAATTGAGGGGCAATATGAAAACCACCTTGTCAGCAAATACTATTTATCATTGAGTCAAATGCTGACCGACGTTTTTCATACTAATTCTTAGTCCATTATTTATATACTGAATTGACGACGGATTTTTCCGTTATTTCCCGCGATCAAGACAAGAAGCACAGGCAGGTCTGACCGGTCAGCAGGGGATGCTCAGTCCTCAATGGCATCTGATCCCACCTCTGATGATTCGGAGGTCCGTGTTTGCTCTGCTCCTATTTTGTATTGTTTGATGGACTTTGAGATTGAATAATGTTCGGTATCTCCATATCTTTCATCTTTCCTTCTGTATTCAATAATGCAAAAATGAAAAGGAAATTAAATAGATTACATGATCGGTACGTAATGGTCCCCGCTGACAAAGAAGGTAACAACATTGTCTTCGTTTGTAAGGTTCATTATACAAATTGTATTTTTGAAGAACTTGGATTTAATTTTAAAAGTGGTAATCCAACCCATACTCATATTTCCTTTTCTGCGGAAGAAATTCTTCAAAATGATATTCAGTTTTAAATAGTTTTAAGTACGGCTCTGTGTAAAAATCATGCAGATAGCACAGAAAAGGCGCTAAGTCGATAATCTTCAAATTCAATAAAACTGGGTTTAATATATTCATTTGGGTCTAAAATGAATATAAACATGACTTTTTATTTTATAATTCCTCTTTTTTCATATGGCCAGGGATAAAGTACTTGAGGTGTAATTTTGTATAGATAGTGTGCAAATAATGCTTATTTCAGAAAAGAATATCGTTAAAACCCAATGAGATGTACAAAAACTTAATACATAAATAAAGTGAAAATGGAAGGCTTAATAAAAATTTACTTTAATATGTTTGTGCAAACGAAGTATTGAAAAGATACAAAGTGTCTAAAATCGAGAATTTGTTAAGATTCTTCAAATGCGTTATCTCCCCTTGGAAGTTTACATAGGTGGCGCTAGTAAAAAAAATGGCATCCTCCATGGTAAGCTGTACGCTGCAAAGTTATTTTGATGCATCGGGTGATGTTTATTGCAAAAACATGTGTGAAGTAACATAAATTGGTTGAAATAATTCTACAAGAACGGATTAGGCATAGTTTTCGGGGTGAAAGTATACATGTAGCCATGTGTCGTGTTGATCAGTATATTGACAATGTTGACGTATTTCTTCCGAAATGCTACTGCTCATGACACCATTGTTATCTATCTCGGACGTTTAACTTCTATGGTAATCCACTCGAATCCAAGAGTAAACTCTCAGAGAGGAGTGGCAGTCCCATTTTGTCAGCTTACTCGACACGGAGAGGGAAGATAATGTACATTTGGACAGTCACATTTGACCAGGTAAGGTCAAGTCCAGCCACAGGGGCTTGTCACGAAATATTTATCTTCTTTTTAATATAGTTACCCCTGCTATAAAAATACACAAGGGAGGAATCTAAAAATCGGAAATTCACAACAGCAAATGTTGATAATCATTTCTGTAGTAGTTTCTGGGCGACTTTCGTTGCCAATCAAGTAGGAGTGAGTGGAGTATAGATTCAATTTTAATATTCTTCAGTCAAATTCTAATCAACGTTTACCGTTAGTCATATAACTAACGTTTTTTTCCACATTTGGATATGGCTTTTTATAGGATTTTTTATTTGATACAAGTACAACAGATATCTGAGAACGGAGGGGGGGTGGGGGTTAAATCTGCATCTCTCTGTCTCTCTCTGTCTCTTTTTTACATTTCTGTTCAATAAAAACTATGATAGTATATTATTCATTTATATCAGAAAATGTAATCTATTACAAATAATTTGAATGCCTCTTTCCATTATCTTGTCCGAGTATAATCACGGCCGGAAAATGTCTGCAGATAAATGTAGAGATTTGCTAAAAAAAAACATCATGAAAATGACATGCACATAAATGTACAATAAAATCTTAAAACACAGTTGTTTTTATGCTATACGTCCAGAGACCTTTGTAAATTTAAAAAAAAAATCGTTATTTTACACGGAATTGCCATGGCACAGAAATACATGCATATGTATGGTTGTTACAACCGTGGTAATTAATTCATTCTATAAGTGGTAGTTTTATCTTCTAAAGTCCGCATTGTTTTATAAGTTAAAAGAATAAGCATATATTTGTTTTTATAAGAGATTAATATTATCTTTAACACTACATGCGTTCGGTTACAATTACACATGTTTCACAGTAATAAAAATCGTCTGATTAAAATGTTGATTTAAGGTCAGACGATACGTTCCCCAAATATCTGTTTAGTATATCTTCATAATGTATGGAAAATATACAACATTTTAATTATTTTGCTATTTCTAAACCGGTTTCTAATTGTTTTTAAAAATTTGAAACACTTTAAATGTGATTTTGGCAAACTAAGTTTTTTTCCATAAAGGATTATATAGAAATGTCATCCTCTGGTATTTTGCACAAAATAATGCCTGGTAAGGTACCTCAATTTTTTGGGAGTAAACATGTTAAAGTAGTAATTCTTCAACGAGAAAATCTTGAACAAAATATATATAAATGAGGAACGTCTCTTCTGTCCTTAAAACATCATTCGTATGTGCAGAAAATTTTTTTTAATCATTTATCTATTTTTGTTTTTTGTATTTTAGCACCTGCCAATCAAATACAATAGAATAGTTTCAATGCAAGGAAAAGATTGGAGGTTTGCCCCCCCCCCCCTTTCTAGAAAGCGATACGAATCAGCTTTCGTTAAAACTTTATTAGAAGTTTACAAATTTATGCTATGTTTTAAAAATCTTAATCTACGGGATGCATACCTATTTATGTCTGAAAAAGGGTAAATAAATAATTTTTTTATAATCATTGTTATAGATATCTATAATCATTTCGCTTGATATCAGATTTCGTCTCTTGATATCAGTTGAGTGTGTTATAAACTTTCTGTGGTCAGAGCTAAAGAATTTGAAAGGTGTGATAAATATACGACGCCTCTGGCAGAGACCCAATATATTTTCCTAAATAGGTTTGAACTCGGAACTGAGCATAAGAATGTTTCAAATCACAAGATGAATTCTTTCCGCGTAATCAGCCTTTCAGGGTCACCTAGCTCATGGGATTTTGATTGACAGGTGATGCACGATGACTTCGTGCGTACAGCATGTACAAAGAACGAATTGATTGCATTAAATAGGTTGAATATGAACCAAAGTAACAGTTGTGGAAATTAAATAGAATTATAGAATGATTAACTTTGACTTCCGTAACTTAAATAAAACGAAACATAAAAAAAATACAGACTGTAAAAAGGGGTTGTATGGGTCTCTCTCTCTCTCTCTCTCTCTCTCTCTTTGGTATTGCTTTTTACACACTTTACAAGGAAAGAAAAAAAGAATTTGGACTTACACATTGATCCAAACGACTTTTTCCTGCAGTAACTTCTGTAATTACAACGCATCGCAACGTTATACTAAGTTGTGCGAGAATAACAACAAAAAATTAAAAAAAAAATAATTTCACTTTGATTTAATGGATATATTGCAGATAAATATATCGGCAGTAGATAAAACATTTATCATTTAAAGTCGGCACTGTTAATGCTTCGGTTTGGTATTGCAACTTAAATTCGACGTTATGTGACGTTAGAGTGTTGACACACGAAATATTATTTGCGGTTTGACGTGCCCGATCTGAATTAAAATTGACGCTCGCCCAAACGTTTGCCCCGTCAACATATTAATTAGGGTGACGGTAATAAAACACCTACCCGCTATTTAGCCTCGATCGTATTGAGAGCAGGGTTTTTACGGAGTGGACCTCCTTGGTCTAAATGTCTCTCAAATGCAAAATGTGTACAACGATCCCGGAGTTAAAAATCAAATTATTTAGTAACCAAACTTTTTCTATGGGCGAACAGCAACAATAAGTATTTTATAGATAACCGAAAATTCATTGAAATGAATCTGTCATTCAGTCGACTAAATTGTACCTCAAAAAATATGGAAACGTTACTGAAAAAGATCTTTTCAATGACGTTTTAGTTGGCATTCAGTTTTCATTCCTTCGATTTAATAGTCCCATTTTTATCCTGTTATCAACTTCAGTATAATTCAGTCTGCTCAGCATTAAGATATTTGAATAAATATTTCATTATGATTGACACGGACAGATACAAATGTTTGCTAATGTTAATTATTTTTATCTGAAAAGAAATTAAGCTTTAAACAACAAGCTTGTAATTTAAGTTATTCCGGTAAAGCTGCACAATACAAAAAAAAGCAATCATTAGTACATATGAACTTCCTTACGCATTTAAGTTATCCCTAGTGCAAGTGCACTTTAATATAAATTTGGTAGTTCTAATTTCCTGCTGTACACTATACTATTCAAGATTAACTTCCTGTCAACGAATTTATACATACTTTCTTTTCTCCTATAGTTTGTAAATTCATTTATTCATTTCTACCTATTAATGTAGGTATTATGAATACCTACCAGTATTTTTTCTCTTGAATGCGTTGTTAATATGCTACGCATGCGCAATCATGTTTTAGTGTTAATTTTTCTCTTTGCAGTCGTCACGTTTTCTAAAGCATATGGTAAGAAACACTTTTTAAATATTAACTATTTACATATTTTTTTTTTAATTTCCCATTTTGATTAAATGAATATTTTTGATATAAAAAATTTATTTGCTTTTGAAATATTTTGAAACTTAATTTGAGTACATAAAACATATCGAAAATATATAATTGAATAAAAAAAATAATATTTAGCTCAGCTTTTGGCCCTCTATTTTTTCCCCAAGAATATACATTAATTTTTCACATTTATGACATGTTGTTTCCTTATAAAAGCATTTCGGACCTCCTGTTGTGTCACAGGTCTTTGCAAATCTGATATAAATCTGAATTTATAAATTGTACTCATTAGAAAGAAAAAATATTTTTGTATGAATGCTTTTCAATAAGTGTAATGCAAATTATAGTTAAGCGAAAAATTATAGATATTATGAATAGTCTTAATCAATTAATCAATCTTTTAAAATTTTGCCAAGCCAATAATTCCTCATGTGTTCAGACATTTTAATTATTATAATTATTTACTAGTATTATATAAAATATAAAGTAAACACTTGTTCGGCTGTACTTACGACAAAATTAAAATGACTGCTATCAGTACTACTTATACCACTTTTAATTAGTTATAACCAACATCTGTATTATCTATGTTAGCATTCAAGCAAATGCATCATTAAGCGTGTTGTGTTTTAATAATTTTAATACATGTTAGGTTGTTAATATTATTCATACGATATCAATGTTATATTTACATATATCTGCAGGTAACTTTTTCATATTTATAATTAACGTGATTCTTACTTGGAAATGAAATTAATTGAAGTGCTTGTCATTCCATAAATTTCGTTAAGTATCTCATGATAATGTCACTTCGATGTAAAAAATTGAAATAAGGTACTAGTTTATTCAAGGCCGCGTGTGAAAATAACTAGCAAAAATATTACTTGAAATAATAATAAATGTAGTGATACTTCTTGGTGTATTTAAAGGCTTGTATGCAGTTGTAAATGACAGACCGAATTCTCCTATTTTAAATCAATGTTACAGGTAATTTATTCTAGAACAGAATTAGGCTCCGACACCTTTAAATTGCCTTAACAGTGCTGTTTATCTTTTTTCATGAGGAAGCTTGAAATAGCGATTACATTTTTTTGAATTTTCATGAACTTTAACATTGTGATCAGAAAGTCGTGAGTTCGAATCGGGGCTGCGACTTACCTGAGTCGATAAAAATAGGTAGCATCTGTTCCTTTGAAAAGCTTTCGACACTTTAAAGTGAAAGTTGTGGGGCATCCGGATGAGACCTAAAAACCGAAGCACAGGGTCACGGTAAGCGTTGTCACGATAAAGAACTCTTACTGCTCAATGGCCATGAGTGCCAAGTAAAGGTCTAAATTTGAAGCCATTCACATGTATATAATTTGATGACGTCTCTCTATGTGTTAAAAATTATCGAACGGGACGTAAAATATTCAAACCATAAATCACTAAATTTGATTTAATCCAAATTGTAGTGGAAAAGTGGGGATCAACAGACAAATGTGAAATGAAAAAGTTTTCATATAGTTATATACATGTAAACCGTCTAAGTCACTGTAGTAATATTTCAGATGACAACAATGGCTACAAGGCCCGATTTCTAGGATTTTATCTCTACGTATCCAATTCGACAAACCGATTTGATGGTCATTTATGTTTTCATGATACAAACAACACCAAAGAAACGATACCTGCCGTCGCTAACATTTCCTGCCCTGTTCACGGACAATATGTCATTTACTACAATGAAAGACTTCCGAATGTTACATACCCCAGTGGATATTCTCAGTACGCTTACACTGAACTTTGTGAGGTTGAGGTCTATGGTGACGTATAATTTATACTTTCATAAATCAGAATGATTTTATATGAAAGGTTAATTTCATACAAACAAATAATAATGATTTTATTCGAAATCATTTTTTTATGAATAGCTGAAATAGATACACAATAAATAAATAAATAAATAAATAAATAAATAAATAAATAAATAAATAAATAAATAAATAAATAAATAAATAAACTTTAGAAAACACATCTTTAGGGGAAAACCCCTTACAATTTATACATTGCCTTGAAGTGAATGGTTTTATCACCAAAATATATCTTTACCTTTTAAAGGTTGTCCTGACCCATATAAATATGGCGTAAACTGTTCAAAGCCGTGTTCAACGAACTGTGAACAATACTGTCATATAGAATCAGGAAACTGTTCAAGGTGTAAGCCAGGCTTTAAAGGAAACCATTGTGAAGAAAGTAAAGTCTGTCGTGTTATATAAACAGGATGTGCTTTTCATATCATAATTATTCTGATTAAGGATTTTACAAGAATATTCTTCTACGTTTTTTAAAATTGTTTATATAACTCTCAAATTTCTGAAATGAATATCCGAAAAGAAAAAAATGTTTTAACTGATTTTATGTCATTTTAATCTGTTACCAATCATAGCTGTAAATAATACATAACCTTTTCTTTCACATCAACGTTGTAAACTTGCACGGATTGTGTTATATTTCGTAAAAATAACCCTGCTTTAACCAATTCTTATATGTCAACTGATAAATAACGTTCAATACTAGTAATTGTGCCTTCATACATGTAACGTATTGAAGGAATTTTTTTTCAGAATGCGGTGACGGATTTTTCGGTGACAGTTGTATGAATATTTGTGGATATTGTAAAACACCTAAAGACTGTAACCCAATAAACGGGGTTTGTTCGAACGGCTGTGCAGGAGGATACCAGGGACAGTTCTGTGATAAAAGTAATATAATTACTTATAAAGTACTATAATTACTTAAAAAGAAATACATGTATAATCACTTAAAAAAGTATTATATTAATTACATAAAAAGGATTATAATTACTTACAGAAAACGATTCAGCTGCAAATCACGTTTAATAAAAAAACATATATATCACTTTGTTCTGGGCACACATGTAAAATACCGTATAACTGGATTTTTCTACGGGGTGCTATTTTTTGCGAAATTCTGCGATCAAGTCTTAATCGCAAAAAATTCAATCGCAAAAAATAAATAAATAAAATCCGAAATTTTCAGTTGCGATCATCGAAGTTCTACTTTTACAGATACCGGAAGAATATGTAAATAATGATTGCACGTTTTCAATCGTATTTTACAGGTTATTTACTTGATATCAACAACAATGATTGTTTTTCGAATAAATAAAACGAATTCCTAAAGATTCAATATTTATTTGTTCCTACATTGTATTTCATGATTTATTTACATTTGCATCCGAATAGCAATTGTCGGTTTGGCTATTCCGCGGCTTGATCGGGTCCTTCACCAGTGTTTATTAGATTTTTCTTAATCGGTATTCTATCCTTGAGAAAAGAATTTCTTGTGTAATATTTCCCCTACTGGGGTTATATAAACTCTTTATAATCATAAATGAAAGTTCATAGTCTATGGGAACTTACTGAAACGAACTTCTATAAATTAATTTCAAAGAATTATCGTCTCGGTTTCAATTCAAAATAATTCATTAATTGTGACTTTGTTTCTAATTTACCCTGTGAATAATAACCCATTAATTATAACAACACACGGACTACCCACAGGTGTAGTGTCATCTATGTAAACACCCAATTAACAGCCCAAGGCCATCACTGTTTCCAGGTAAGTCCAGACTGCATGTATTTTACGCTTGATTGGCGAGTATACAAGCGCAATCAAAACTTCGAGAGATAGAGAGTTAAATTCAGTTAAATATGTGTAACGGGACCCAGGTTTTGGTTCGAGAGAATAAATAGACTTTATTGTCAAAGTGAAATCGCAAAAAATAAATATACCTATTTCAGGATCAAATCGCAAAATTTGCACCCGCATTAAAAACCAGTTATACGGTAAGTAATTGTTAACATATTTTTTCTCCTTTTAATTATGATTAAGCCTGCCCAGAGGGACATTTTGGAGAAAATTGTAATAACGTGTGTAACGATGCATGTAAAGGATGTAACAGAATAAACGGTAAATGTGACAATGGATGTTACCCTGGTTGGAAAGGAAATTTCTGTCTTGAGGGTAACAATCTTTTGGTTAATATTAATTTATTTGACAGTTTGAACATCCCACAAACTACATAGAAAATTGCAAAGCAAAAGAGCATTAATCTACTATACTGGTAAATACATTGAAACATCTATTATTTGTGTCATCTTTTATTCGCCATTTTTCAAATTGAAATCAATCTGCCACCATTAATTTTCGCGACCGAGGAAGCAATGTCTACCAATATAAAGCAAATTGTATGGTTAACAGCGATTAATATTCGCGAATTAAAGTAGATCCCGAAACTCGCGGATATTTCTTACACGCGAATAAAAATTGGTTTACTCTACGTTTGTAAATGGTTTATTTGCTAAAAAATGAGGATCATCTGTGTATCTCGGGAATAACTGTATCTAGGATAATCGTTTCTGTGTAATTCTGTGCATGTGTTGCATTTTAGTACAGGGAAAAGATGATGACAATGACTATCAGTCGAAATTTCATGGCGTCTTGGGTGTACTCTGCGTTCTTATTATTTTCAACGGAGTTTACCTGTTTTACAAAGTTAAAGATAGGTACTAAGTATTTACCTTTAAAGCTCTTATTTTAATCACTGAGCATCTTGTTTTGATTGAAATTTGTAAATTACTTTAATATTTGCAGGATTAAGCATTTCTGGAAACAGGTTAAGAAGAGTTATTTTGAAGAATCCACAGTTCCAGACAAAGAGGCTACCTCACAAATCGAAGAAGAAATCTACGAAAATCCTGAATACCAAGATGTGTGCGAAATTGAAGTCGCTGAAAATTACGATAAAATACAGTAGAAGTGAAAGTATTTTATGTTGTTAACCGTTGACTCTCTCCCCTTCAATTATAAAAAAAGCTTGTCTCTTCTAATATTACATATTTATGAAATTAAAGCAATTGAAACAAATACTGTATGATAATAAAATATGTGACTTACTCTAAATAATACTTTCTTCTTTTTGAATGATTCAAAATGACATTTAAGGTGGAGGACAATCAATTCTCTAAAAATCGTAAACTCCTGCTTCATTTTTTTCTTAGAATGAAAGAATCTAAAATACTTCCTTAAGATTTGTAAATTTTTTTTGCACTGCCTATTGTCTTCTCTAAAAGCAACCCTCATGTCATTCTTCTTTCATCATAATGAAATAAAAAATATTTCCGTATATCATCTTTTTTTCCATGTCAACAAGATAAATTCATTAAAATGCCGTTTAGTGCAAAAGTGAAAAAAAAAATCATAAAAATTGTTTCAATTTCAAAATGATTTCATCAAATGTGATATTAATTAAGCGTACTCAAGAAATGGATACTTTGTGATTTTTATTTAATTCTGATTGAATAGGAATAAATGCCGGAAAAAATATAACTTGAAATCTGTAAGAGGTTAATAACTATATAAATTTTAACATTTCTAAAACAAAGCTTTTGATCTGAAATAATAAATAATTAAAGTATTTATAAGCAAATTTTGTTCAAAACACGGCTGCTTAAAAATTGAAAAAAGTATATCAAGTATATATGAGAAAATAAGAATCTATGATGCACATATAGGATTGATTTGAATAATATAATTATATTACGCGATAAAACGTATTGTATATTTCAAGAGACATATCACTGATTTTTTTTCCGTTTGGTTCAGGTTCAGATTTTCTAGGTAAAAAGACTTTTTTCTAGAACAAAGTAATTATCATTTGTTTTTAACCCATCACTTTCTGGAATGGGTAAATTTTCCTTCTGAAACAAAAAGTCGTTATCATCTACCACTCCCTCATCTGAATCTTTATCTGCATTTGGAACATCATCTAAAGTGCCATTAAAATGACCAAGTGCTGGATCTTCAGTTTTTGTTAAATGTACGTGTTCGTAATGGTTTTCTCTGTTATCTACTGTTGACTCGTGAAGATGGTTGTAAACACTACAGCTTATGTTGGACGACATGCTGGAATGACGTTGCTCTGTCGTCAATGTCATCTGTTGTACACCTTTGGAATTCTAATGGATAATATATAAAAAAGAAATTGAAATTCATTTAACTTTGTTTGTGAAAGATTCTTACCTTTTTTCTTTGTAAGGAAATTTACACTGTACAATTAAGTGTTGCCATACCTTTTCTTTTAAAATTTGATCGGTATATCATTGAGCACTTATTTAGCATTCTATAAATTTGATTCCCAATGTAATTCAAAAAATGTTACTTTCACACCGCAACCTAATTCGAGTGGTAGTCAGTTTAAATGGATTTTCTTTTTATAACTTCTAATACATAATTTTCTTATATTTATAGCAAGCTACCAGATCATCTGGCGTACTTCTTAGTACAAGTATTTACATAGAAAAAATAACTGTTAAATATTCATCTGAATTTAAATAACTTTTAAATCGTATCTGTCTTTAGATACATTTCTATAAAATGACATGGATTGTGAAATGAGCAGAAGACTGAGAATTCAATAAAATATATTTTTTTTTAATTACTCACGCGTTCATTACTTATTTCATTGTACACATCATTCATTTGAATTTCTTGGCTTGGTGGTACATAATCATTCTGTTGATACACTTCTCTGTTCTTTTTCCTGTATTGTTTGAATGAAAGAAAAGTTATAGTAAAATTGCTGCTTTATAATTAAATTGATCAACTATTATTTCAGCAGCTATGTACAAACATAGTACATGTAGATATATAGTTTCAGAAAGAGAGGTCTATACGGCAATTTAACTTTAGATACTAAAATTTAAAATAAAGATTTACGTACTTTTGAAACTTTTCACGGAGCAGGCAAACCGTAGATGTAATTATTATACCAATAACTAATCCAGCAAATGCAGACCCAAAAGAATATTCATATAACGTTTCTAAAAGGAAATATAAACACAGATTTTTTCCGTAACACATTACACCGAAAAAAATAGAATAAAGTCAAAGCTAATAGATTTCAGATAAAAGAAAATAAACTGTATGATAGGTCTTTGGATTCCGAGGTTCCTGAAGTTTTCATTCTACTATTTAAAAAAATACGCACTTACATATAAAATATCTCCCTTAATAGTGATTTAACTGGAAACATATTCTTATTGATATCATTTGTTCCCATTAAAAAGTGAGCATTTAATTATTACACCATAAAGTATTTGTCCATTAATCTTGAGAATTTTCTTTCATCGAATACACTTGATAATAATCAATGTGTTGATAAAAATATAATAATGGAGTTGATCAAGTGAAGACATTTCACTATTAATAGTTCCATTTATAGTATGCATTGAAATCAGCTGTTTATGACATTGTTATGTCATATAAACAAGGCCTGTTTAAGTTTTAGTTTTTATTCATTTCAACGGAATCGCATAAAATAAGTGCATAATAAGGAAGGTGGAGTGAATTTTAAGAAACAATGACGTCATAAAAGTAAATGGTGACAGCACCGGAAGATCAAATGTCTTTGTTATTTTATGATTATTTGGCAAAAAATCAACGTATAAAGCTGTAATGTTTTTCAACATTTCTTTAATATTTCTTGTTTTATGTTCCTTGTAAATTTTCGTTCGCACAAATTGCATTGTTTTAATGTTATTGCATGTTCTAAATATTCTTTTGATAACCTCTTGCAAATATAAGAAAACAAGACGTGTTTGTAGAATAACTGATACTTCTGATGGCATCTCAAGATGAAGATCAAAGTTTTTCAAATGAAGGTCAAACTCCGATGTCAGGAGGTCAAAAGTATTGGTATCCATGGAAAAGTCTTTTCACAATGAATATATATGTGAAACAAAAAATTCTTAGTTTCTATCGTAAAAAAATTTTTTTTCAGGATTAATTTTTTTTCAAAAGTAAGTAAATGTCAAGGTCAAAGAGGAAATGTCAAAAAAGAATGGTCTGGGCAGATAAGATTTGGAGAAACGTGTAGTTATCTGGCTTAAATGTCCACTGAAATAAACTAAAGCTGGTCAAAAGGAATGAGGCTACTAAATCATCAAAGGTGGGATCAGGTACCACTGATGAGTAAGCTGTCCCTGTCGACAGGTCACACCTGCCGTGTGCTACTTGTCATGATCGGGAAATAACGGAAAAAATCCGTAGTCAATGATGTATTTGAAAATGGCGGAAGAGTTTTAAGATAGGAAACCGTCATTCAAAAGTAGAATTAATGAATACTTGTATTACAAGTAGGTGATTCAATATCAAGACACTGAAGAGCTTTTTTGGTATTTTTTAAATTTAGGCGGGCATGTAGTTCTTATAAATGTAATGATGTACAGTAACAAAAAGTGGAAAACTTAGGATAATCTATTGTATATTAAATAATTTACCGTTTAGTTGATCGTTTCCACGTTGAGTTGAAATAGATGAAGTCTGAGCATTTAATGATGTTGTGACAACAAACGATGGATGAAGCGCAGCTGAACTTTTTGTAAAAAGTGGTGATGTAGCACAAAAATCTAAATCCATCAAACATCAATTATCAATTTGTATAATTAATTATGAAAATAAAATAATCGTTATTATTAATTTTTGTTGGTTTTATTTAAAAATATATTCGGTAATGTTAACAAAAAGTAAATTTAATTGAATTTACAATAAATTTTATACCAGCAGGTAGCAGCTGAGTAGATATGGTGCATGAAATGTTATCCTGTGGGTTTGTACCGTTTCCAAAAGGGACCTCACGTATACTGCCATTGGTTGATTTAAGTATAAGAAAAGGTATAGTGTTAGAGTTTTCCGCTTCTCCTGACACATAAACACACGTATCGCTGGCTTCAGAAAAAAATATGATGGTTACAATTACTAGTAATTTTACATTTGAAACCAAAATTTGACTGTGTCTCTGATATTCATGTTTTGATAAATTAAAAAAAAAAGAATATCAAAAAACTGCAAATGTCAACATTCGAAGCAACTATTTAGAAAGAAAAAATCGTCTGAAAAAAAGTATCGTATGTTAATACAAAAATACGGAAGAATTTGTTGTTTTATTTTACTTATCCAAAATTTCTAAATTTGCAATATCAAATGCACAAAAAATGAAAAAAATAAAAATACTTACAGTAGGATATACTCCAAAAAATGGTTAAGAAAATTCCTGAGACTTCAGACTTCATCTTTTATGATATTGATGTCTACTTGGTTATTCTATACATAAAACAGCTTTAATGATTTCCTTAAAACTGATTGTACGTACATCACATGATTGTAATTGCAATGATTGTAATGTCCTTGTTTTTTTTTAAATGTAGTTAAAATGAATTCAAAATCAGGTGGTGCGTGTGTCCTGTGCAGGTATTTCCTTCCTTATGTAACACTATATGTATCCGACAATCATTTCTCGTGTATTTATTTCAAACAATTTTAATTAGTGGTTATCATATGATTTAAGGAAAAAAGTTAAGATAACAAACATTGAATCTTCTCACAAATATATACTTACATTGTACATTAGCCAATGCTTTTCCTTATATTAGATTGCCATTCAATTTTGAATGATATGTAGTCGGTCACATGATTAGACTTTCTTGCGTACGGAAAGCAAATTACGCGACTTAATTGGAAAGTCTTAAAGTGGAAGTGACGGGTCTTTTGGACATGACCTCAAAAACGTAGGTGCCGTGTCACGGTAGGCGTTGGCACGATAGAGAACCCTCACTGTTCAATACCCCTTAGTGCCGAGTATAGGTATAAATTTAAAGCTTTTCACCGGCATACGGTGACGTCTCTGTATGAGTGAAAAATTCCCGAATGGGACGTTAAACAATATATATTCAATCAATCAGCTTTGATTTTATATGTAAAAAATTGGTATAAGATATTGAGGGACCGCCTTTGCAATATATTGATTTATAGTGACCTTTCTATTACAGTAAAACTCGGGTTATAACGAAGTCACTGGGACATGTGAAATTACTTCGCTAAATTGATTTATAATGACCTATCTATTACATGTATATTTTAATGAATCTGCAAACAAATATACGACAGCTTCATTTGTGTTCAGAATTTACGAAAATAATATGTATAAAATAGTAAAATAGACATAACATACAAGTTAACGACCTTTAACATAGGTGCAAATAATATTTTATTTGATAACAAAAAACATTTTTCTTTGTAAAAATAGCTTTGTCAGCCTTTCACTACATACAGATTGCGTCTACTTTATCCAAATGACGTGGCATTAACCAAGGGATCGTATTTATCTTACTGTGCGGGATTGAACAAACTAGAAAACTGCATGTAAAAGGAAGTTTTGATGTACGTTTAATTTGCACGGAACCCGATACTTTCTCATTGTCCTGCCTTTTGAATTTCATTGGTCATGCATTGCTTGCGATAAATGGATTAACAAGGCAAAATTTGCTTAACGGCCTCGGGCAAACGGTTTGGTGCTTAGTTCGACAAAATTCATTTAACCCAGTTAAAAATTTCAAGCAGCACTGTTAATGGTCAGTATAAACAATCAACGGTAAATAGACATGCAAAACCAGAAATTTTTTAAAAGTTGAATTTACTTTTATTAATATGTTTTATTATCAGAAAACTTAAATACTTATGGAAATAGCATAGTATAACCCACTCTGTACTGTATGAAGTCTGGTCCCATCGATGGACAGTCACGTGATGAATGCATAGTACCCTTACTGAATGTAGGTCATTAACACATTTCAATATCGCAAAGGCATACCCTAGTTGAAATAAAATTTCAAGCTTTTATTTCTTTTCTGCATACTTTGTACTTTCTGGAAAGGTCTGCTGCTTTGAATATAAGTCGCGTTTTAATAGTTAAAATATCAAGTAAATAAGCCCATGTGGAAATATGTTTGACTTTTACGGAATATGTTTGGTACCTATTAAGTCACGATCTCGAATTAAAGGACCGTTCACGGTAGCTCAGTCGGTATAGCGCTCGCTCCGTGATCGGGAGGTCGTGAGTTCTTATCTCGGCCGCGACTGACCTAGTCGTTAAAATGGGTAGCAATTGTTCCTTCGCCATGCGCCCGGCACTTTGAAATGAAAGTTGCGGGTCCTTAGGATGAGACCTTAAAAACCGAGGCCCCGTGTCAGTGGAGGGCGTTGGCACGATAAAGATCCCTCACTGCTCAATGGCCCTAAGTGCCGAGTAAAGGTCAAAATTTGAAGCCCTTCACCGGCATACGGTGACCTCTCCATATGAGTGAAAAATTCTCGAGAGGGACGTTAAACAATATACAATCAATCAATCAATCGAATTAAAGAAAACAGCAACACTCTTCAAGTTAAGTAAAATATCCTTTATTAATCTACAAAAAATGGTTAAGATCTGTTTGTATATGCCTTGCGAGAAAACAATTTAATGAGGCATTTCGGTGTAAAATACACCTTACCTGTACATAAAAGCACGACAAAATTAATTAAATACATTCTCTCTATAGTTAATAAACAATCGCACTAAACAAATGATATACATTGGTATTAATAGCCTATTTGAAACCTGTAAAAGATATTCTCTTTAATGATAAAATGCATTTTTCATAGTTAAAAAAATTTCTTAAACTACCTCTCACAGCACTTGAAAAATGTCTTTCTTTAAAAACCAAAATGACGTCATGTTGACAAGTTCATGGCGATCAGTGATTTGTTTGAAACTAGCTGTATGGGATTAAAGTAGCAACTTTTTTTCATGGATTGATAAGTTTTATTGTTGTTTATTATGCTAATACAGTTTCAAGTTGCAAATTATTTCATTTTCTAGTATTATGAGGAATACATAAAAGTCATATTTTGTGTGACGTCACAGTTAACTTTTGCAGTACAAATTAGGCCCCGCCCCTTTTCTTCAGCCTTAACAATGCTGCGTATTATACATATCAAATATTAACCACCGTTTTCCATAAAAACTGTTAAATCATTTTCTACCAATTATTTCATTCACCCAATCAAAAGAAGGAGCGCATGTGGCTTTTGGATAGGAAAAGCTCGTTCCTCCATGATACCCGATCCTACCTCTGATATATTTCGATTGTCATGTTTTATTTTCCAAGTACCAAGTGCCAAGTATAGGCAAATTTAATTTTTTTTGACGAGCAAGTGAAGTCGTCTCTGTATGAGTTAAATTTTCTCGAAAGGTACGCTTAACAACCATTGAAACACAAAATAATAAAACTTAAAGTGTCTAGGATATGAAGTTATTCTTTCTTTCAGTTCAAGCCAAATGAATAACTCTTTTGCATGTGTTGCATTACAAATCTATGATTGTTTTTCAATTCTTCTGATAAGTTGCTATTTTCAAAATGGATGTTTTTTCTCACATAGAAATTGGTATTGCTTGTTACAAATCTCATCATACCAGGTTCCGTCGGGGAAAATAATTACCAGACAGTCTTCGTTGCCTTCATAGTTATTTGGTTCATTTTCTCCCCAGTTTGTATAGCTAAGTTCTTTCTTGCTATTATTTTAGATAAATGAGTGTTCATTTCCAAAGACAGTGCCTCCTGTCCAAATACCATTCACCGACGAGATTTCTGAACAATGAAAGGCAAACAAAATAATTATAACAATTACTATTATGTTCATTAAAAAATCTGAGTGTACCGGCGTTGTAGAGTGAGACATCCCCATAGTCAGACCCCTCCCCCCGAAATTCATGCTCTGGAATAAATTTGAACTTACCACAGACGAAATGCCCTAGAGTAAGACTTCCACAAGGACGAATTCTGACTGCAGATGTATTTAGTTTCATGTGTATTATATCACAAGTGAAATATACTATGTCAGCAATATTGCTTCTTACCATCTGATAAATATCTCAAAGACGAGTTTTTAGAGCGAAAACTTATTCCAACCTACTGAATGTCAATATATTTTTTGCATTAAAATATTCCGTTTTATCTAATAGTTGTTAATTATATATGGGAAGCGTTACTGTTTCTTATAACTGTTGATTGATTGATTGATTGTATACTGTTTAACGTCCCTCTCCAGAATATTTCACTGATATGGAGATGTCACCACTGCCGGTGAAGGGCTGCAAATTTTGGCCTATGCTCGGCACTTACGGCCTTTGAGCAGGGAGGGATCTTTATCGTGCCACACCTACTGTGACACGGGGCCTCGGTTTATACGGTCTCATCCGAAGGACCGCCCCATTTAGTCGCCTTTTACGACAAGCAAGGGGCACTGAGGACCTATTCTAACCCGGATCCCCACGGGAGTATAACTGTTGAGATAAGTGGACTAAAATAACATCAAATAACATTTTGAAAAAAAAAATCATTATAAACATAAGATATTCCTATCCTATGTGAACAACTTAATAAATTCTGTCCAGTTAAAAGTAGTAAATCAATAAAATCACCAAATGACTTAAATAGATATGTAAATTCTTCAGTGTATTTATTTGTCCATACCTGATACTACTATTTTTCGAATCCATTCATCCTCCTCTTTCGTCTCCACCTCTACCAAATAGGATCCAAGACCCTGACATTGTAGCTGAATGGTAAGAAAGGTCAACAGTCAAATGTAAAAGGTTATAATAACATGTATCATAGTCATAAAAGAATATGTTTCCAGATTAGTAATTAAAAGAAAATGTTAAATTCAGGACCCTAGATCCCTAAACTTATACGGGCTTAATTTTGATTTCAATCTCATTTTTATAAAATATTAACTGTGTAAAAGTGGGGCAGATCAAATGGAATGTCCTCTAAGATTTATGTTACGAGGCATACAGCTGTGAAAAAAGAAATGAAATA